TATGAAAGAAGATCTTATAGTGAACAATTTCATATGCATCATTCAGATACTAATATAAATCAACACCATTATACTGATGCCGAAGTAGTTTCTCTGTCCCAGTATAAAGCACGATTTAATCAATCATCTTCGAATATAAATACGTTAAATTCAAGAACTTATACCGATTTTGATCATGCACAATCCTCTAGGCCATCTTCAAAATACTATCTGAATTCTTTTTCTTTGTATTCTCAAAAGGGTTTTTCTCCTAGGCAGTCTTTTGAATATGCTGAACATATGTCTTTATATCATGATTCTAGCCAGATCTCTGGGAAAGGTACTGGGAATGCAGAGGCTTGTTTACAAAGTTATTCAGGGCAAAATACGGATGTTTCTCAAGAAAAAATATATGATGATAAAATTATTAAATGTTCTGAGAATGATACATATTTATTGCAGCATCATCAGCCGGAATCATCTATGGCTATGAAGTATGAATGTAACAATTTTATATCATGTATTAATAATATTAGGAATATAGAAAATCAAGATTCTTTTCGAAATCAAGTTTTCAATAGTGATTCTTGGAGAGAAAATATACGTGGTAAAGATATAGTATAGCTGTTAATTTATTTATTAATTTTTTAGGAGTATATTATAATATATATCCTGGCCAAAGACTTGAGAATATATCTAACAATAACAGGACATGGTCACTATATAATGCCTTAACACCTAGAAATGAATTATTTAGTAGTGATAGATCGAAGAATTCTAATTCTAATGCTTCTTTTATTTCAACAAAAACATTAAAATCTTTCCCTGCAGTTTATCCGGCTTTACTTTCGTGTGTTGCAGAGGCTTTTAGACAACGAATTATATTGGGTGATAGATTAAAAGATGGTTTGACATATAAGGATGCTTTTACAGGAAGTGAAGCTGTAGATGTTATTTCTCAAATTATTAGGACTATGGATCGCAATTTAGCTTTACTTCTAGGAAGATCATTAGATGCTCAAAAATTTATTCACGATGTAACTTATGATCATCGTCTTCGTGATTCTCCGAATGAAGTATATCAGTTTAGAGAATGCTTGTCTTCTCTTTCCAATTCAGATATCAATGCTCAATTGAAGACAAATAAAAATGATTTAAATAATTCTTTAACTTCTAAGGTTTTATCTCAGGGTGATCTTAATACATCTTATGACAATCGTCTATCAAATTCTCATTCAGCACTATTATGTATTGATTTTACTGCTTCAAAAAATTGCCTAAAAACATTTCAAAATGATGTTGTTGATCTTCCCAATGGTGTTTTTACATTGCTTACTGAATGTTATTCTCCAACTTGTGTAAGAGATCAGTTATGTTATTCTATATCTTGTCCATGGCGTTTCGAACAACAAGCACGATTAAATATGAAGCCTCATTCAGCTTTGAAAAGGGTGGAATCTCGTTATAGTTTAAGTGGATTAGACGATACTGAAAAAGAACAGAAATTGTGGATACAAAGCGTACCAAGAGAGATTGCAGATAGTCTTAATGAACGAGAAAGAAAGAGGCAAGAAATAATATGCGAGGTTATTTATACTGAAAGAGATTTTGTAAAAGACCTCGAGTATCTTAGAGATGTAAGTTATAAATAATATATTTTTACTTTTCCTAATCAATATTAGTTTTGGATGAAACCTTTACGGTGTGGAAATCTAATACCCGAATATCGTAAAGAAAAGTTTATTTTGGCTGTTTTTTCTAATATTATGGATGTTCATGCTGTTAATTCTCGGTTGGCTGAGGCGTTAACTAAAAGACAGCAACAACATAATGTTATTTATCGTATTGGTGATATATTTCTTGAATATGTGCCTCGTTTTGATCCATTTATTCGATATGGTGCAAATCAGCTTCATGGAAAATATGAGTTTGAAAAAGAAAAAAGAGAAAATCCTGTTTTTTCAAAATTTGTTGAAGAAACTGAAAGACTAAGAGAATCACGGAAACTTGAGTTAAATGGTTATTTAACAAAGCCCACTACACGTCTTGCACGGTATCCTTTACTTTTGGAAGCGGTAGCTAAAAGCACCTCAGATGATAATCCAGATAAGGGCGATCTTATGAAAGCTGTTAAACTTGTTAAAGAATTTCTTAATAAAGTAAATATTGAATCTGGAAAGGCTGAAAATCGCTTTAATTTAATGCAATTAAGCAAACAATTGATATTTAAGCCTGGTGAAAGTGTCGATTTGAAACTTTCAGATGAAAATCGTCGCCTTATTTTTAAAGGGATATTAAAAAAAAGGAGTGTTTCTAGTGCAAGTATGGACTTTGGTAGTGATATTCAAGTTTTTTTATTTGATCATGTTCTTTTAATGGTTAAAATGACAAAGCGTGAGCAATATAAGGTTCATCGCAAAGTAAGAATTTTGTTTTTCTTTATCGTATTTAGCTTATAATTCAAGCCTATACCTCTTGAACTCTTAATTATATCGCAGTCTGAAGAACCTTCTGAGAGATCATTTGTTGCAAAAAGAACGCCTTTACTGCTTAATACAACATTAAGATCTACTCCTCATAAAAATGATAATTCTAAGGGATATGCAATTACATTCATTCATTTAGGTCGTAGAGGTTATATGATTACTTTATATGCAACGACATCTATAAGTCGCAAAAAATGGGCTGAACATATTGAATCTCAACAAAGAAGTCTTAAAGAAAGAAGTTGTATTTTTAAACGACAAATTATCTGTGAGAAATATTTTTTAAGAGGAAATAAAGTAGCATGTGTTGCTCCTTTTGGTTTTATAATATTTATTTTATTCCTGATAAATTTTAATTATTTTTATAGATGGTGGCCGGAAATTAATATATGGTACTGAAAATGGTGTTTATGTATCAGATCGTAAACCAAATTCTTCTGCAAAAGCTATACCAGTTAGGGTTCTTGCTATAAATGGTGTTACTCAAGTTGATGTTCTTGAAGAATATTCGATTTTGTTAGTTCTTGCAGATAAAACTCTTTATTCGTATCCTTTGGAGTCATTAGATTTAAATGATACAACTTTAGCAAATAAACGTCCCAGAAAAATAGCTGGGCATGCAAATTTCTTTAGATCCGGACTTTGTCTTGGTAAGTTATTAGTTTGCGTGGTTAAAAGTTCTGTCTTGAGTTCAACTATAAAAATATTGGAGCCTATTGATAATGTTTGTCGAGGTAAAAAGCAGGCTCCATTTAGATTTTTGCTTCAAGGGGGACAGGATGTTCTCAGAGTTTTTAAGGTATTTTATATATTCATTGTATTTGTATATATAATATTTATTCGATATTTTTTAGGAATTTTATATTCCTACTGAATCTACATCTGTTCATTTTTTGAAACATAAACTCTGCGTTGGATCTCCAAAAGGTTTGGTTTTTAAAAAAATCTAATTATTATTAAAATTATTATAAGGATTTGAAGTTGTCAATTTAGAGAATCTTGAAACTCAATCTTTGCTTGATCCTGCCGATACTTCTTTGGATTTTGTTACTCGGAAAGAAAACATAAAACCTATTGCTATATATAGGCTAAATTTAAAATTTTTACTTTGTTATGATGGTGTGTATTGAAATATATTGTATATGTATATATTGATACTTCTTTAGAGATGGCGTTCTTTGTGGATAAAAATGGATGGGCTACTAAACATGATTGGATGATTATTTGGGAAGGATTACCTACATCATTTGGTGAGTTTATGTTAATTTAACAAAATTGTTTATTAAAATATATATTAAGCTCTTTTTTATCCATATCTACTTGCTTTTGAAGATTCATTTATTGAAATTCGTCATGTAGAAACAACTGCATTAGTACAAGTGATTCTTGGTCATAATATACGAAAGTTGCATGATAATTATCGAGAGTGCTTGTATGCATATACAGATGATGATGGTGTTGATAAAATTGCTAGTTTAGATTGCTGGGAAAGTTTAAAAATGCAACGCAAAATATCTTCTCTTAGTTAATATTTGTTGAGGAAAAAATACTTAATCTTTGAGAAAATTATAGATATTTGATTATTTAATTTCTTATATATATATATATAGAAGCTATATTTGTATTGTACACAATAATTATGGATTTGTTGAATGTTTTTATAGTATTTATAATGTTAAATATAATATTAATTGTTTTTAAAGTTCGTAAATACAGAACATATATGTATTAATATAATTATTTGATTTAGTATTTAGCATTATTTTAAAGAGTTTAGTGTCTATTTATTTTAGTGAATATAATTTATTTTATAGAAAGATTTACTTTATTATATTTGAAGTTTCTATAAAACTTATAATAGACATTAATTTCAAAACAATGTGTTTTAGTTTATAATGATAATTAAAAGTAGCATATATCTAAACTGATTTCTTAAATTATAAACACTTTAATAATTTGAATCTATTGTTCATTTAAAAAGAAAAATAACAGTAGAAATGATAACTTTTGGTAGATACAGAATTGATTTTATGTTTCAATTAAAAAATATTTCAGTGTTTATTTTTAAGTTTCAATAATAAATAATTTTATATATTATAATTTTTCATGAAAAGTTTAAAAATAATTAAAGATTTAATAGAAAAAATAATGATTTATTAAAACATAAATTATAATTATATATGTTCAATATTAAAAAACATAGTTTTGAAATGTCTTGAATTTTTAATATAGATTTATAGTATTCATTTTTCTAGTGATTAAGAAATTGGGAAGATGTCCGAGTGGTTATGGAGTCACGTTCAGGCCGTGTACTTTTACGTGATTCGTGATAGCGAAAGCTGCGTGGGTTCGAATCCCACTCTTCTCAGATTTTTATATTTAATCTTTGTAGATTTAAAGGAATTGGAAATAGCATTTTATTTTTCGTAGTGTTTTTAAAAAAAACAATTGATTATCGATTTCATAGATTTATTTGTAAAATTAAAAAAAATATAGATCTACATATAAAAAAAAATATGTTATTTTTTATAATATTTAACATTCATTAGAGATTTTTGTATCTAGAAAATTATATAAATATAAATAAAAAAGGCATTTTACTTAAAATGAGAGAAACAATCAGTCTAGAAAATATTAACTTTTTAATAATATTATTAATTTTATATACCCATAAAGACCCTAAATATAGAATTATCATTAGTAATATCTTATTTTATATTTAGATAGCTTACTAATACTTCAGAAAATATCAACACTAGTTATGTTAATATTATTAAAATTATTGTTTTAATTATTACCTAATACCATAGAAACAAATACTCTTGGCTGGAGCATATACGAACGTACACCACTATTACCAATAATACCAATACTATAACCGGATGCTATCCCTGTCATTCCTACACTGAGTCCTGCTGCAAGATGTATTAAGCCACTATTTATAATCAGTATTAATTGATAAAGATTATGCTTCTTCACTTAAAAAGTGAGTAATTTTCTATAGGTGAAAGATTTCCTATTATTAACACAGATACGACAAGGCCATATACCTATATTTATAAGATATTGCTGAATAATATTAATCTTTAAAAATATTACGCTAATTATTCCACTCATAACTACTGGAATAAAACTCTATATGATTTTTAAATAAATATTAATAATTATATTAAATATTACTTTCATAATTAGTTCTGGTTTAAATTGTCCAATGCCTGCAATTCCCATTCCTGAAACTGCTGTTCCATAGGCAGAACCAATGGCTAAGTTAAGATTAGTTACAGAATAACTAAGTATTTCGACTACATGATAAACTCATCTAATATGAAATTTAAAATTAGTTTAAGGAAATAGAGAATGGGTGTACCGCTGCAGCTACTCCTGCAAATCCAAAAAATGAGCTATAACTAGGACATAATTCACTGATTGACATAGTAGAAATTTATATTGCTAAAATAGAAACTATTCAAATGATATTTCTTTGTTTATATTGTTGTTAGAGATATACCTGAAAATAATAAATTATAAATCAAGTATAAATTATAATTAAATATCTAACGTATTTAATTATTTTAGATTTTTAAAGTTTTTATTATGCAATATTCTTATTAATTTTATTAAAATAAATTATATATATAATAATAATTTTATATTTTTATGTTTTATTGGTTATATTTTTAGAGTTTAATAATATTTTTATGTATTTTATGTAAATAGTTTAAATAATACTATAAAAAAATAGTATATATTTTTAAATATTAAGAAATGTATATGGTTAACTATGTACTTTTTAATGATACACTGTTATATGTTTTTATAATATTTTCTTAAAAAAATATCTTTAAATTACCTTATTGTTTTTATCTTAAAGTCTTTAGAATTATTTATAGGTTATAATTTAAAAAGAATATACTAAAATGCTTTTAAAATATAAAATGTATTTAATATATTTTATGAGATTATAAGGGGAAATATATGTAAAAATATAAAATTGAATTTTTAAAATTTTATAATATAAAAATATCTTACGATTAATATTTAAGACTTTTCGAAAAAAATATAGAATTTTAAGTATGCCAAGTTCATGTAATGACATTCGAAAAGCTCTAGCATTATGTATTTCGAATTCGGATTGTATGAAAAATGGAAATTCTGCAAAAGAATGTTTATCTAATTCTGAATTATTAGAATTTGTGCCTTTACAATGCCATCTTTTAAAGAGAAGTTTATATAATTGCAAAAGAGGAATGGTAGAATTGTTGTTATTTTGATCTTTTTTGTTTAGTTTTTTTAGCTTGATATGAGAAAGAGGTTTCGTGGAAATGTCCCTATTGATATTGATAAATGAGAAATTAAAACTTATATGTGTAACAATATAATTTGTTTTTGGATCTTAAATATTCTATAATGAATAATTTTATGGTATTTATTGCATTTCTTATCATATTTTTGAAATATTTAGGACAGGTATTTTTAGTATCAAGGTTCTTTATTAAATCATTTAATTTAATTATTACGATAGTTTAATTTCTTATTAGTATATAAATTGTATGATTTTTAATAGTTTTTTCATGTTAAACATTTAATTAAATATATCTATTGGTATTATCTATCCTTTTTTATCATATTTATGGTAGTTATATATTTATTTTTTATGTATTTTTAGTTTTTGTTGTTTTCTAAATAGATTTAAACATTTGTCATATTTAACATTCTCGTTTATATATTATTATCAATGAATTCGTTCAAGTTCACAAAAAATGGTATTTTCAATGATTAATGATATATAATTATTTTTTTTAAACTATATGAAATTTATTATAAATAAAAATCAAAATATATGATGGATAAAATTAATAATTTGTCAATATTAAATTCTAAAGTATATAAAAATAGTATATAATCTTCTTATTTTCAAAAGTATTCTATCAATATTAAAGTTCCATTAAATACTGTTGATTTGAAGTTTTAATTTTTATATATATAGAAAATATTTTAATGAATTTTTTTAAAAAGATATTTAGAATATAGTATTGAAATATTTTTGGTGTTTTATCTTAAATATTTAATATTTTATTGAATTATTGTTAAAACTAGGATCTTTATAAAAAGATATTTTGATAATTTAAAATCATTTAATAGTAAGAAATAGTTTTCAATCCAACGTGTATAAATTTTAAATATAAATTTGATTCAATGATATTAAATAAATATTTAGTATTTTATAATAATTTTATATATATTAAACGTCCATTACAAGTACTCTATTTCATATCCTAAGAGGGTTTCTGTATAATTACCATCCCAACCACGATTTCCACTTGATGTAAGCATATATTTGCATGTATTATCAATATCTATTGTTGTTAGAGAAATTCATATATATATTATAATAATACAAATTGATGATATAACACCACCATAATGGCCTGGTATTATTAAAAAAGGTATTTTAGATGATCCGTTTAAATCGTACATTCTAATATTGTCATAAGATGCACTGGAAAAATATAAAATACTAGTCAATATTATTAAGAAATGTATACCAAATAAGATGTTTCCCATTAGGCATTGAATGAACTGCAGATACAGGGCCAGAATTTAAAGGAAGTTTAATAGAGCGTAATGGTTTATCTAGAGCAGAGTATATTGAAAATTCATCCACTAAACAATTGAACTGTTATTTATAAATAAAGAATAATAATACCTGTTCCATTTCTTCTTCCAGCATATATATATTTTCCATCAACTGACCAGCATGCCTAAACGTAAAGTTATTATATCAATAATATATATATTTATATTTACATTCATACACCATGGTGGAGTGCCATTAGGTATTCCTAACTTGGCAATATGTTTTAATTGTCGTACATCCCATATAGTTATACTTCCATCAATTCCAGAAACAATAAATTCATTCTTATTTTGAATCGATTCATTGTTTAAATTAGATATATTTTTCTCTTCCATTCTTTCATTATCAAATATTGAGTCAAAAAAGCCTTCTAACAAATCGTTTGTTTCATTTAATTCTGATTTCATGTTAATTTTGGGTTCATTTTTTATGCAATTTGATGTTGATGTAATTGTAATTGGAAATATTGGTCTGTATGCAATAGTAGATATTTGACCTGTATGATTATCATAAGATCGAGAAACTGTGCCTGTATTAAGATCCCATTCCTATTTTATTAAGATTATTTATAACAGTTTTATAAAATATACATATACATTTTTATCCCATCCTCCACTTAAAACTTTTGTTTCACAAGACGAAAGTTCTAGAACAGAAACAGGAGATATATGTTTTTTCATAGTTGCTAGAATTCTTCCTTCATCATGTCTTACGCTTTGTAAATTAATGACACCTGTCTATTGAAGATTAATATAGATTAAAAATAACGTCATTCACATCAATTCCAGAAAGCATCCATAAAGCCTGTTTATTAACTGCTAAACAATATACTGGTGATAGTTTATGATATGAATTTGTTGATATAGATCTTGGTGAATCTAAGACATATAAGAAATGTATAGGAGAATAAAAAAAGAAACTTTGAGAGTCATTATTTTCCCAGTAAGATAATAAAACACCTGCCTGAAAATATTAAAATAAAAATATTACATTTTTATGAATCACATTTACTACTGAATCTACAAAAGGATGTCTTTGAGCAACAGTAAGAGGTATTTTTCCGTTCATACTAGAAAAAAAGTCAAATTTTCTGATATATCCATCATTTCCTCCAGTAAATATCCATCTCATACATGAAGTTGCGGCCATTATATTTATGCTAGTAGAATGTGGTGCTGTGAATGTTGGAATGATATCATAAGAGTTTGCTTGAATAGCATGGGAATTATCACTACTATTTTGATTTTTCTTAGTAGAAAGAGATTTATTTGATGTGCATTTGAAGTCAGATTCTGATGATATTAGATTCTCGGAAAATCTATCTATTTCATCATCGTAATTTAGTTCCAAATTTTGACGGAATTCAGAACCTTGTGTTGTCAAAAAAAATAAACATTCAAATAATGGTTTTTACCATTGCCATTTATTGATGACTGCGTATCTTTATCATCTACTTTGTCGTCTTCACTATCAATCTCTATATTTATCATATGAATTTGATTTTTAATGCTATTTGGCTGATAAATATATATATCTATGTATTGGAAATTTAGTATTTTGAATTTGAGATTTTTTTGTAATCATTAGGATAAAATTTTTTAACCATACGTTTTTTTTATGATTTTAAATGTTAAATTGAAATTTAAAGTTATTTTTTACGAAACACATATTTGTTTCGTTAAAAATGTTTCTCAGATTTTTTAAAACTTAAAATTGTTGTTTAAAAATAAAAAATAAAATTGAAATATTTTTATCAGGGTAAAAAAATGTTTAAAGATGTGTCTAGATAGTTTAGAATTTATTAATATTTATTGAAAATTTAAAATAATGAAAATATTTGAAAAAAATCCATAAAAAATATAATTAGATATTAAATGAATTTTTTTTATAACTTTAAAGAATAGTTTTATAATAGCATTAAATTTTATTATTATAAATAATTTTTAAGTATAATTCTATATTTATAATGAGCTTTAAATTTATTTTATAATATTGCTTTGAAAACTAGAGATTATTCATTTATAATTATTTAATAATTTAAATTGATTAGTTTAAGTATATAATTTTTTATAGATATTCATAAATAAATACATAGTTTAAGCAATTAGTAAGCTTTTATAATAATTATGCTTTCCATTTTTTTTGTAAGTAAATTTTGTTAAGATAATATTATATGTTTTTAACTAAATTATATTATATATGTATTATTTAAAAAGTTTTTAATTTTATGAAGTTTTAGAGAAAAATTAAATAGTTAATATGGATTTTATTTAACATTTTATTGTTAATTTTAAAAAATATATAATAGTTTAAATTAACATTTGAAAAATCTAATTATTTAGCAATAATGGTAAATAGTTTTTTATGTAATAATATTTAAATAATTATATTTTAATACAGTTAAATTGCTGATTTATCCTTAAGTATTTTTGCAATTTTAAAAAAATTATGTAAAAACTAGAGATGAAATACAATTAATACACAATTTTGTACTTCCTATTTTTGAATGTTGATGAATACAATTAGAACACAATAATGCACCACAAGGATGACAATTATATTTCCTATCTTGAAATTGTTAGGTAAAGCTAGAAAAAAATATAATTACCTATAATTGCAAATGTTGTTTTGCATATAAAACAATTATTATATTCCTCGCCTGATAAATAGTGGAATTTATGTACAGTATCAGGGAGATTCCATATATAAACATTTCCAAGGCTATCCCCAGTAAATAATGAACGTGTTTTTCCAGAAGGATATAATGCAGTTATTTTAGATGCTAATAAAGAGTTTTTTATATAGTCATAATGTTGCAAAGTTTTAATGTTTACAAGCTCCCTGATTAATTTTCCATTTTCAGTTTTCCATGAAATATTCCATATCTATATAGAATAAGATTTATATTTAAAAAGTATTATCTAATACTTGCACGATTCCAAAATTATGCCCAGTAAATATTAAATCACACTCTAACCACTCATAATTAATTCCCTCATAAAATTTACAGCTAAATATTATATCATTTTGATTAAACCCAATATTTTGGCGTAATAATAAATCGCCATTTATAGTCCAAATAGAAATTATCATTTCTGAACATGCTGCAATATCTCCATTTGTATCATTTATTGAAATACACTAAATATAGCTTAAAAACATCAGACATTTGTTGTTTAAAATACCTGTATAGGACTACTACTTTTTTCTAATGTACGAACATAGCATGCTCTATTTAAATCCCATTCTATTACTAAACCATCCTATTATTTTCAATAATTGATAATAGATATGATATTTAAAACCTCTGATCCAGAGACAATAATACTAAATGATTTTGATGAATCAAGAGATATAATAGGTTTAAAATGACCTCTTAGGTAATTTTTTAATTTTAAATTTATTGTTTTTCCCTGCATAATAGACCATATATAAATAATGCAATCATTACTTCCAGTTATTAATGTATATGGTTCTATAAAACATGCACATGTTATTTTTTTAAGATGAAGTTTATGAAATGATTTAAAAATCTAATATAATTATATTATAACGTTAAATATTTCTATGAAATTTTACTAACCTTTTTATTTTCTCTATTATAAAATTCTATATCACTTCCAATTATATCCCATTGGAGATAAATATTAATGTTAGGAAGCATATAAATACAGTTTGAAGAACATCCAATAATTTTATCTAGATTTTCTAAATATATAATCGTTTTTATAGAAAAATCGCTTTCTTATATAATGTTTAGTTGATTATTATGCGTAAGTCCATATTACCTTGAAAATGCATTATAGCTTGAATTAAAGAACTAATACTTTTTTCATATTTTCCAAGATATGGTATTTTTGTTGCTGTAATATACTTTTTTGTATTACAAGTTCTTTTAGGATGTGGTTGCTGAAAAATTTGGTTAGGTGTTTGACCAAAATTATATATTATGCCTAGATTATTGCATTAGAATAAAAGAAACAATTTTTTATATTTCTACCTATAGTAGCTATTTTTTCTATAGGATCTTCAATTTTATCAATGTCTAAAAGTTAAATTTCATACGAATTAATAAATACAACTAACCTATAGAACCTTGATATGAAAGATGATGAAATATATTTGTAGCTTTTACAGCTAATTCTCCTTGTTGTTTGACTCCAAAGATCAAATCAATCCATTCATTAAGATGTTCACTAACATAATCACATTCCAAGGCCTATGAATATTTAGAAAAGGTCTTCATTAGAAATAATTGACTTCTCTATGTTTCTTTATAAAAAGCTTTGGATCACCTTTTGCCCATGGAGGTAAAATTACTGAATCAATTATTTCATTGCTTCCTTGTTTTTTTCCAAATTTATAGTTATTTGAATTAACTAAAAATTCTGGAAGATAAAAAAATTCTGGAATTAATTCACGTACATCTGCCATATTTTCCTGAGAGGAAGATAACCATGCTTTTTCAATTGAATAAAACAGTCTATCAGCATGATCAAAAGACCCTCCTTATTATAATTTGGTTTAGATGTATTAATTTAAGGATAACCTACCTTGTAATAAGAGATAGGAATCAACAAAAGGCTTCAATCTAATTAAATAAGAGCATACTATCATAGCGGAAGAATAATGAGTTCCATAATGAAAAGGAGGTTGAGAACTATCTTGTATTTCTTGGAATGATTTAAATCGTTTTTCAAATTCACCTATATGGTATTAATTTTGTAATAAATCACTCTTTTAGTTTTTCTTACATCTTCTTAAGGGATTTTGAGCCCCCATAGGTTTTGAAAAATCACGAAATGATTTTGGATTAGTAAGATCAAGCTATATTTTATGAATAGTTATATTTTATAAAGAATTTTTATACCTCTTCACTGCTATAATCAGTTAAAACCCATGGAAAAATAGGATATTGTGTAAGATCTAAATATATGTTCTATTAATTAACAATTATGCAAAAAAAATACCATTGTATGTTCTTCCTGTTAATGTATTAATTATCATAAGGTAATGAAAATTTGATATTTTCCCTTCCTTCCATTTTTTTAAAGAAGGATGAATAGAATTAAACATATTTATTATACGAGAACAAAATTTTGTAATAGACGTTTGCGATTTAATAGTATCTGTAAATTCGCTATTTATAAGAAAATCTTTGGAAAAAGAATAATCAATTTGACTTAGCTTAGAGAGTAGTTTATTATATACATGTTCTCTTTCTTTAATAGATAATATAATTAAATAACTTTGACCATTATTAAAAAACAGTTCAAGGCCAACGTCTCTGTAAAAATTAATAAAAAAATAAGGTAAATTAAGCCCACCTAAACAAAAATTTCCTTCGATAAATAGATACTATTTGGTCAAAAGGCCTAAGATATTTATATTATAGGATATAAATGTTTTAGAGATATTTTACCATTTTCTTGTTTTATGTTCATTTTGAAAAGGAGCAGTTTTTTTTTTAGATATATCTTTTCCTGAAAGTAACTGAATATACATGTCTCGTTCCTAGTGACTAATAAATATATTTAATATGCATGTTTATTTATTTACATTTTCCACTGTTGGATCCCATATAGTAGTAATTTCCCCATTAGATTTTTGAAAATAATTATCCATTAAATATAAATTATTTTTCCCTAAAAATAATATTCCTTCTATTATAAAAATTAATAAAATGAAAAATAGTTATTATAATTACCATATGCATCTAGACCATTTATTCTAGAGATATTATGAATTTCTATTATGTAATCACCATATTCTAGATTCCGCAATATTTTTTTGCTTTTGTCATCTTTAAATAAATTATTAGTTTTTTCATTAAGATTTTCTATATCTTGAAATATTAGAAAATTTAAACATGTTGCAAGTTTGTTACTATGATTAAAGCTTTGAATAATAGGTGAAATTGGTTTTTCAGTATTAATTTGATCTGTATTATTTTTAAAGTTATTAGGTATTTTCAAAATTTCTTTATTATCTTCTATTTAAAATTATATTCAATTAATATGAAACCTTAAAAAACTTAAATACCATTAATATTTCTTCCATATATTTTATCTACTTTATATGAATCTATTGGAATTTCTTGTTGAATTTCTGACTGTATTATTGGGCTCTGATAACTATCAAGTTTCATTTTTTTTCTCATTCTTGATCTCCCTTCAGTAAAATCTAACTTCCATTTTTTTTCTTTATTATTTTCAAAAATGCAATGCTCTTCTGTTAAGTTAATGATTATTTTTGACCAAACAGAATTTAGAAAATTATCCAAATCTATTTGGTCTTGTATATATTTCTCAATTTTTTTGTGTTGTAATGAGACCAAATTTTTGCGCCAATTAGATAAAATTGATTCATGTTTAATAAATATATCAGAATTTTGAATAATCTGGTTTTCTTGAATATACAACCTGTCATTCCTAGTTTGTTCATTTAATAATATTATTTCTTTCCAATTTTTAAGCTGATTTTCTAAATAATGATTCCATGAAGTGTTTAAATATTTAAAAAATGTATTATTTAATATATATTTATTTTTATTTACCCAGGATAAAAAGTATTTAGGGTCCTAAAATTTTAAAATATTTCAAAGGCTATTAGTACTTACAAGAGTAGGTATATTTAAAAATGTGTCAGCAATATTGTAATCTATATCATTAGTAATAATATTATAATATTTGAGCAGAAAGAACCTGATAGCACAGATTGATCAAATATAGAAGAAATTTCATGGAACTTTTGCTGAATAATTAATTTCCAAATCTATTAAAATGAAATTAGAATACGTATATATAATAATAATTATACTTGCATTTATTGACATTATACGCAAATTATAAGATTTATCGAAAAGTAAAATATAAAGCCAATAACAAAAATAAGTAATAAATTTATGAATATTTGTTAATGGATAAAATATTACATAGTTGCAACACATAATTTTTTCGATAAAGCTTTGAATTTCTTTTTTTTCGTTATAGTTTCTAAGAGTAGATAATTTTAGAAATAAAACGTTGTGGAAGCATTGTTGAATATTAATAAAAAATTGTCCGTATATTTTTTCTTGTTTTTTGATACTAATTTTATGAACATGCTCAAGAATAAATATTAGAAATTCAAGAAGATGCTCACACATGAAAAAATGGCCTAAAAAATTAAAATTAATGTATGTTAAAAGCTGTAATACCTTTAAGAGCACTATTAAGGCAATCTTTTGAAAAAATATAAATATTAGAAAGCACTGATATTTCATTAAGTTTATCTAATTGACTTTGAATAATTTTGTGTAGTTTTATTAAAGTAGTATATAATATATATGATTCAATATAAATTTGATTTCCAAAAAAACACGATGGTATCTATTTGTTTGTAAATATCTATAGGCAAAAATGCATATTTATATTATTACCTGAATGTTAAGTTTTAAAATATATTTTTTTGATGAGATAATAATACTATCTATGATATTTGTGACAATTAATTGAAGCAATATTTCGTATATTGATACAATATCATATTTGTTATCTAATTCGAATGTCTTTAATGATTTTGATTTAAAAAAAGTAGATGATCTGTTTTTTTTTGTTATTGTAGATTTTAAATATATCAATGATATATTTTCTTTATCAGAAATAGTTTCTATAAAGCATTTTGAAAAAGAATTGTTAATAGTATCTAATTTCCATAAAGTTGGAATATTGTCATTTTCGAAAGGCAATGTATCAATGATGAGATTTTTGCTTGAAATATGAAATAGATTTCTTGAATTAAGGATAACTTCTGTCCCGATATGATCTTTTGTGAATATTAAAGGACAAATGATGTAAAGGAGTTTTTCTATGAAGTAAGGAGACAATATATGCTCCTTAAAACACCTAATTGACAAATACATATTTTTTATAAATCTTATAACACGAAGAAGTATATCGAAACCTTCATAATACTTAGTTTTTTTAAAATTGTGAATGTGATTATGTTGAAAATTATTTTTATTTATTTTATTATAAATTGCGCTTAATGAATTTGAACGTTTTCGTTTAACATTTATAGGTGAGAGACAAATATTCATATCATCTTTTGTAGAATTGATATATGTTCGAAATAATTTTAAGTCATGTGCTCCTGATTCAAGCATTGCAAGAATTACATCATATATTTCAAAACAATATATCTTTGTGATATTTTTATTTTTGCTTAATAAGAATCGTAAGAATTCATCAAAATTTTTAATGTCTGTATTTCCTTCTTTAATATTTAAAATCTCAATTCCAAAAAAAAGACAAAAAGCAATTTTCCAAATATTAATATTATTCCACCATTTTTTTAAATATAATTTTATAAGAATGAAATAATGAGTTTTTGGCAAGAATTTAGATATATAGTTTGTGCCTTTTAGTATCATTAGTTGAGAAAGTATTTTGAAGCTACATATAACACATCTGGAATCCTTATTTGACAATAATAATAATAACCACTAATAATATTAATATTTTAGTACCAATAATAATTGCATACCTTATCTGTAATCACTTTCGAAAATTTTTCTATAAATGATCTATTTTGAGTATTACATAAAATATCTGAGAGCATTTCAAGAACGTCAATAGCCTTTTTATATAATGGAGAATTGTTATTTAATTCTTTCTCATTGAGGTTATTAGGGGCTACTCTATCTTCAAATAAGTCTGAAGTTAAGGGTTCTGTAGTTTTATGTTTAATTTTCATAGGTTCTTAAATATCATTTAGAATTTTCTAATGAAATAATATTTATACCTTTATATAAAGCATAAATTATATATGTAAGAAGTATTTTTATTATTTCAGGTGTAAAATAAATTTCTATTAATGTTTTGAAAGTAATTAAAAATAAAGGAAAAATATTTTCAGAAATATAATCCAATTTTAAGGTAATAATGAATTTTTTTATTATATCTATAATAAAATTAGTCAATTTTTTTTCTTTGATAACTTACGCATTTTATCAAGGCATTTTATATTAAATTTTGCATATGAACTTTCTAAAACTAATGATAAAAAATGTTGCATGTACAGTTTTATGGTTTTTTCATCGGCTTTTTTCCATATTTCAAAGTCTAAAATTAGAAATTTATATGCTAAAGGATTTAGAATTATAGAATTCCTACTAATAAATCATATAAATTTGATAATAAATATAATAATACTTAGAATCTAATTCTTCGTATCCCAAAAATGATAAAATAGAATTGAGGAGATGAATATTATGTATTTTTTCTTTATTCTTTAGTATTTTTGCAAGAATTTCATATCCGTGATTTTTCTCCATATGTTCTAAATTCCTTCTATTGTTTTTGATAAAAGAAAATGTAAGTTTAGTAGCACAAATTAGATCATTGGGTGTTTTTGAAATTTCAATCAACTTAAGTCCTAAAATAGGTCCTCCAATATAAAAAATAGAATCTTCAATGTTGTTAACTATAACATTAATAGGATTACCTATAAACCATCCTATTCGCTCATTATTGATTATGCAATTATTTGAAAAAGTAACTGCTTTATTTAATATTATTAAATTATTATCTATTTTTTTAGGTGCTATTTGCATAATTTTTTCATTTATTTTTTCTGAATCATCCCATTTGCTTGAAGCGTTAATATCGAGAATAGAATCATTGCAAATATAAAACAATACTTTATTATATAGTATAGATGTTATATTTTCATTTTTAAGTGTATCCATATGTATAATTTTTTCATTTTTCGTATTTTTTTTCCCTAAGGGGATATTTAATATTGTTGAAGAGTTCTTCATTAAATTTCTTGGAGTGTTCTGATAATCTTTATCATAATATGGCCCTATATGATAATATAGATCTATTATATCCTCATTAAGCACATCTTCGATAATTAAAAAACTTGAAAGACTCCATTTAGTTAGTGATTTGTTTTGTCCATATCTAGTACATAGTTCTTGAGGTGTTCCTAAGAATAGTTGAATTGGCGATTTGTCTTTGTTAACCACAGGATATGAACATTTAGTACTTTCAATGTGTAGTCCATTAACAGAAAAAGAAAGTTTAGATGATGTCGTAACTTTTTGTTTTTCATGAATTAATGCTATATGATACCATTGCCCTTCTTCAAATTTATAGAAGGTGAATTTAGTACGATTTTTCAATGATGTTTGAAACAATAGATTTTTACTATTTTTTTCGATAAAGAGTTTGCATATGTATTTTTTTTGGCTATCGACAATTAATAGTATATCTGTATCTAAAGTTTCATCGAACGTATCAAATCTAATCCAAAAAAGTATAGAATAGCCATTTAAAGGTGGAAATGACTTGTGAAGACAGGAGAATTCAATATATGAATACCCATGTAATGATAAATTGAATTGAATATGAGATGGACTCTGGTTTTGTGAAAATAAATGTAAAAGAAACGATGTAAGTTCTTCGTTTTTCGTTAAATCCTTTGAAAATTTTTGTATCAGAAAAAAAACATCTTTAGTAGGTAATCCATTTTGGCATAGCTTAACAATTAGCTGCAATAACATTTCCTTTTCCATTGGATCTAAAATTAGTGAATCATTATCGAAAAGTCTTTTAATTATAATAGATGGTATTTCATTGTTAGTAAATGCTACAAGGTTTATTTTTGAAATGCAATTTCCAAGCAAAGAATTAAAAGTTAAAAGAATTGACAATCGATGCCAGGATAATTTGAAGTTTTTTTGTACTGAAAGAATAAGAGGAAGAATTTGTGGGTTTATAATTATATCTTTTTCTGAAAATTTTTTTTTTATCAATTCTTCGAGTTTATTGAATGTATGTTTTTGTAATTTTTTGTTCGTATATTTTTTTATGTTTAACTGTTCTTTAATACTTCGAAACGATGATTGAAATGATTCATCGTTAAGCGCAAAGGAAAATAACATTCCTATAAGAGTTTCTGGTTCATTCTGGAATAATGTTGTTTCATGAATGAATGATGAAATATCACAGTAATGAAAAAAATGATATGAATTAAAAGAATTCCATGAAACGGCTGTGGATAAAAGAGTAAATACCGAACATATTACCTGAATTGATTGCTGATGATCGTTATGTTGTTGATTTTTTTGAGTATTTTCATTTTCATTATTATGAAAAAACATATATAAGAAATTTAATAATTTTTCAAACCCTTGAGATTTTCGAAAAAATGTCATAGATTCTTGATTGTTAATAATTAGTTGGCGGATTTGAGATAAAAGGATTATTTGATCGATAGCATTGTTCATTTGAAAGAGTTGAGATAAAAGTATATTAAACATCGTTAAAAATATTTATGTTTTTTGCTAAAATGTTATAATATTTATTTAATAATATTTGTATTTTGAATCATTCCAGATAATTTTAATGTATACTTCTTAATATATAAAAGCTTGTGATTAAATGACTTTTCTTTATAGTATCATAAAATTACGATATAAATTGAAATTAATAGAAATACGAAAAAATATTTTTATATTTCATTTATTACGTTTCTGAAAAAAAAAAATCTATATATCTGAAAAATTTAAGTTTAAACAAATATATTTTATATAAACAAATATATGTTTTATATAATTTATTTTTTTAATTTTCTAGAAAAAATTCAATACATAAAAAATCTTAATTTAGGTGTTTATTAAGATATTTATATAATTATTAATATGTGTCTATAGATAATGTTACATATAGATGCAGCTTTTTATATAATTATAATTTTAAAAAATAAAATGCTATCAATATATATATAATAATCGATATTTTTTTATGATAAAATATTAATTATAGATTTTTAAAAATGATATTCATTGTCAGATTCATTATTTTTATTATAATTGGTATTATTTCTGGCATTTCTTCCATTCCTATAATAGTATTTAATGAAAATGAATATGATGATTATATTGTAATATTTCGTGAATCAGTTGATAATATAAAAGTCCAAAGGCATTATTTATGGATTTATGATCATTTAAAATGGTTTCAGAGATATAAAAAAGAAAAATTTGGGATTGATAATGAAAATATTAATATACATGGCTGGTTAAAACATGAGTTTATTATTTCAGATAAACTCAGGGGATATCATGGGAGATTCTTAAAAGAATTCATGAAATATATTCTTAAATATGATGATGTACGTGTTTTGGATTTTTAGATATTATATAATTATATAATTTTTTTGTTGTATTAATGATTTTTAGGTAGCATTTGTTGAGAAAGATCAAAATGTTTATGCATTAACTTTGCAAAAAAATGCTGGATGGGGTTTAGCGCGGCTTTCTCATAGAAACGCGCTTAATTTTTCTACTTTTAATAAATACGATTTTGATTCTTCTTCTGGTGAGGGTGTTACTATGTACGTTTTTTTTTCTAGTTTATTGTGCTTATTTTTTAAAGTTATATAATTGATACGGGAATTAATATAGAACATGCTGATTTTGGGGGCCGGGCAAAATGGGGAATAACTATACCTTCTGAATGTGAAAATATTGATGATAATGGACATGGTACTCATGTAGCTGGCATTGCTGCTAGTTTTACTTATGGTGTGGCAAAAAATGCTAGTCTCGTTGCTGTAAAAGTGTTAAAGGAAGATGGATCAGGGCTTTTAGTATTTATATTATTATTATTTCTATGATTGATGATTATAGAGTGATGTTTTAAAAGGCATTGAATGGTCAGTTAAGATGCATTTAAAAAATACCGAATCTTTTAAAAATAATTCAAATTTTAAAGGTTCTGTTGCCAATCTGTCATTGGGAGGATCAAAAAGTAAAATTTTAGATTACTTTGTAGATATTGCAGTGAGCTTAGGTTTACATTTTACTGTAGCTGCTGGAAATGAAAATGATGATGCATGTAATTATTCACCTGCTTCTTCTAAAGGCGCTATTACTGTTGGTGCTAGTACAATTTTAGATAATAAAGCATATTTTTCAAATTTTGGGTATTTTTTTTTATAATAGATTTTATACAATTAATTTTTTTAGAAAATGTGTTGATATTTTTGCACCTGGTCAAAATATTATTTCAACATGGATCGGTAATAATTTAGCAACTACGTCTCTTTCAGGGACATCTATGGCTGCTCCATATGTATGTGGATTACTTGCTTATTTAAATTCTTTAGTTTTTAAAAATTCATCTTATAATATTTTTTATACATCTGATATGCTTAAAAATAAACTTTTAGATCTAGGGACTAAAGGAAAATTGTATAATATGCCACAATCTACTGCTAATATTATTGCATATAATGGTATTAATTTTTTTTTATATTAATATAATAATTGTTTAAAGGATATGATGAAAATATTTATTAATTATTAATATTGTTTTAAAATATAATTAAACTCTAGTACATATAATATATTGTTAGCTAAACCAACAATTAGCTGTTTTCATTAATTTTTAATACCTATATATATTTATTAAAAAATCATGTAAATATTATGGATTTTTTTGCATTAAATTTATATTTTTATGATGCATATATAAATTATTGTTATTTTAATAAAAAATATATAATTTGATGAATAACTGTCAATTTAAAATATTATTATATTATTTTTATTAAATTTATTATTATAGCTTTATACTGTATAAAATTTTAATGATTCCAAAATTTAATATCTAATAAATTAATATATATTTAAAATATATAGAGTTGAAAATATTTACTAAAAAACGACATTGATATTATAACTATATGCAATAATATAAATTTAGCATTAACTAGTTTGTTTTAATTTGTTAATATTTTTATAGAAAATTAATTATTAAAACTATAATACTACAATGGTATTAAAATTTACGTAATAATTCATAGAACCTATAGTTTTTCACTGATTTAAAATATATAATTTTATATAGACATATACATAAGAAATTACTAAAGTAATCGTAATAAAAAAAGTAATATATAATTGTATAACTATATACTATTTATTTTAGTTAAATTATCTATAGATAAGCTAAATATTATAATGTTTGTTATATGAAATATTCTAATAATTGATATTTATATGTAAAATAATCATTATAAACAATATATAAATTTGTATATATTATATATTATTATATATTATTTTTTGTTATATAATATATAATTAAATAAATATGTTTACATATTTTTCTTACACTATACGTATACGTTTTTTATATGAAATATATGATAATTATAATAAATATATTTATAAATGATAAAATTTATTAAAAGTTTATATTTATATTATAGAAATCATAATTATTAGAAATTAAATATAAATAATTTTATCATATAGAACATATAATTTTATTTAAACATAATTTTCTATAATATTCAATAATTTTTATTATATTTATCTATATAATTTAAATATATTACTTAATTAAATCATATATACAACATATTTTTATTTAGCATATATTTTAAATAATATATTTCAATTCGTTCATTAATGTTTAAATTTATCAAAAAAATATACTTTTAATATATTTCAGAATAAATATTTTTTAAAATAGTAGTAATTCAACATTTCCTAATTATCAAAAAGATAATATCCATTAAGCATTTTGCATATCTACTACAATAAATATATTTTTATAATATTTAATAACGTAACTAATTACTATTATCTAATATTATTTACATTTATAATAACTAACAATAAACATATAAAACCATGCTATTTTAAAAAAAACAATTAAAAAATATATATACATTTATTCCATTTATAAAAATCATATCCAAGAAGACTACATCAAAGCACAAAGATTTTTATGGAATCAAAACAAAAAAGAGACTGTTTAATTATATATATTCATAAAATTTGTTCATTTAACATTTTAACAGAATCTACAGAAGACGTAGGTGCACCACTATCTGTCCAAAATCCAGGTTGTGAAAGTGTCCTAGAATAATCTGATTGAATATTTGAAGAAGTCATGCTTTTTGAAGTCAAATGCGTAGAGACATTTCCAGCTTGCTTTGCTAATATTTTCCATTCATCAAGTTTATAAGGATTATAATCAAAATGATAACCATTTCCAGGACTATTCAATTATAAAATGATCTAAATATATAAAAAATGTTTTTACCTTTTCTTAATGGGAAAAAACCAATCCCACCAATTTTTCCCCATAACAGAACACCAATTTTCCTTCCAACCTAAATCCCATGGATGGTCACCAGGATTTGTAGTAACGTTCGCTCTTTTAAATCCAGATTTATCAGTATCATATAAAACATTAAGAAGATAAAATCTAGCATAAAAATTAATTGATTCTATAGTAGTTGAATTTCGAAATATATAAAAAACATGAATACTAGTAAAAGGACCCAAAAATAATGTAAAAAAAGATGCTCTAACAAAATTTTAACAAAAAAATATTGCAATCAAACCACATTTACAATGCAAGAATCCCTATCCATGGCCCAGGAACATAACCATTCTAAATATTTTAGAAAAAAAAAGAAATCATTGCAGTCATACCATTATATAATATTCTCTAATCAAAGGCGCGCATGAACATATAATAAAAACACAAATAAGAGTAACATAAAATATAAACAAAACGAAAAACTTATATCGTGTAAAACCAATAACACCGCCAACCCTATACATATTTTAATATAATGCAAAATGAAAACTAATATTATATCACCATGGACAAAAATGATCTAACTTTAAAACACAACGTTGCACCTCACTACAATGATGGGCACGATCCGGCTTATATACTTCACATATAGCACACCATCTTGGGAAACCATCATTTTCGCAGACATAAGCATCATATAGACAAAATGTTCTCATCTGATCTGTTATATGATTTCTTAGTTCAATATCATTTGATGATGATATTTTTAAATCTTTAAATCTAGGAACATAGCCAGGAGATGTAAAAATAATACGTGCAAAAGAAAGCGTAACCATAAATAAGAGTAAAGAAAAAATAACAAGAAGAACAACTAGATTATAAGCATTTTAAATAGAATAAAAAAAGTTATTACTTCCTAAACTCCTACCACGATTTACCAAATAATTTACTAAAAAAAATCAATATAAAAATGATTTGCTAATATTTTAATACCGCATATTAATACAATATAAACCCATGTAGTAAAGCCCATAACACTAACCAAAAGCGGTGGAATAACCCAACCAAATGCCCTGTTAACATTGCTAGAACTTGGATCACATGCCATTTGCATTAATATTTTTACTACTAGGGATTATTTTGAAATATTATATAATATATAAATCTTATCATTTTATATTTTTATTTCGGTACATGTTAAAAACATTTAAAATTATAATACGATTAAAATGTTAAAATTATATATTTCTTTTACAATTTAATATTACATATTATTACTGTTACTATGTTTAAAGAACAAAACTAAAATTTTATCAAAAAACATAGCAATTTTAGATTTTCAAGTATAATATTACACTTCAAAAAAGTATATCTTCTACCAAAAGAAAGCATAAAACATAACTTTAACAAATGGGGAAATATATATTTATTATACACTCATTTAAAAAAACATAATATTACATAAAATTTAATCTAGCAATTAAAGATATTTTTACAATGACTATTATATATAAATATTTAACATGTTTATAAATAAACATATTTCGTTCTCGAAATATCTTAATATATATATATAATATTACAATTACATTATTTATGTCATAAAACATAGTTTGTTATACGTCATCATGTAAAGTAAATATAAATTATTGAATATTATTTTACAAGTTTATGATAACTAGAAATTAAACAGAAAATACATAAATATATAGAAATACATGTCGTCATCCTCTTCGTATACTGTGAAAATAGAGGTAATTATTTTCATATTTCTGTACTAGTATTCTAAGTTAACTTTCAGTAAAACTCCAATAATTAATAAATACACACTTTAATTGTTATAATATATTCTTAAATAGTTATATTTTTAAAATTCATATTGCTACTAAGAATATTATTAATGTTTATATCAAAATATAAATATAATCATCATAAGATTGGTTATTTACATCACCAATCCTATTTATAGTAAATTTTAATTACGAGAAATTTAGATTTTTTTTTTAATTAGACCAGAAAAACAACATAAAATCTTAATACATCAAAATCATTCAATATCTGAAAAAAATATATGAAACAAAAATTATAACATTCATTATGAAAAACATCATGCTGATCTATCACACAAGATATCTATATATTATAATATAAAAAACAATTTTATCACAGTAATAATTTTTAACATTTTCATTATTTTAAATATTCAAATCTATAATTTTTAAAGCTTTTAAACTAATATTCATAGTAGCATAATTTATATAATTATGAACATTTCAACATCATTTAGTAATAATTAAAATCAAAAATCTAATAAGTAATAAATAAAAAAATATCTCAAAATTATCAAAAACATCAGAAATCTAAAATTTATCAGAAAACAAATTATATACAATAATCATTATCAATCATGTATATTAATCAATAAAACAATCCAATAGTAGATTTCCGAAATATAATATTTTACAATCACAAATCCAAAAAGAAAAAAATTCAAAAATATGTTGTAGATCAAGTTGTTATCATAATATATATATATATAAATCTAAATAAATCAAAAAAACTATTTTTTTAATAAACATAAAAGAAAAAACCAAGAAAAACAAAAATTTATTAGTTCAAAAAATATTATTATTTAGAATTAAAATTATCAGAAAATATTTATATCATAATTTCAGGATTCTGTTCTTCTACGTTTAAATGTATCATTTGGTTCTCTATTCCCTAACTGGCGAATAGAAGAAACTCTTGAATGTTTACGAAACATTGCAGATTCTCGTGCATGTTCTCTATATTCAAAACTATCTTTACTTTCTCTCAAAGGCCGTGCCTTTCCTATATTTCGTTCCATAAAATTAACATCTTTATTAGTAAAAAATCTATTCCTCTCATTAAAATTATCATTATCTCTTATCTTTTCACGATTATGCCCAGAATTTCCAACTTCATGTACATAATCTTTTTCCCTATTATATGTATCTTTATTAATTAGAGTAACTGCTCTCCTATCTTCTCTATTAGATTTCAAATTTGTCTCTTTTAATGATTCCTTTAAAAAAGACTCGCGTCTAGAATCTGATTCCAATCCTGAAGAATATGTTCGGAAAGATTCATCAGTATTACGCTTTACAAAAGGTTTTTCCATATCAAAACGCATTCTAGAACGTCTCATAGAGGAGGGTTCATAATCGTGACTTTTCCATTGTTCAGAAACATCGCGAGACTTTCCTATTTCAGAGGTTTTTATAAGAGATGTTTTTCGATTAAAAGGATCAGAAGTTTCGTCATGCAAAATCTCTCTAGAAGAAAACGTTCTACTATCAGAAAATTTATCTCTATTTAAAGAAGGACCCTTAGGTATATCCTTAAATTTAGAGAACAACGAAGAGTTATTAGATTGAGTATGTCTATGATAATAATCAGAAATATCATAAATACAATTTTAAAATTACTCTTTTAATTCACTGGTAATCATTACTTGTCTACGTCTTGAATGAACATTCAAAGAATCGATTTTATCTTGCGGCGCTTTTATCTTGTTTTGGTAAATTGCTGAATCAACAGATTCAGTAGGAACTTTTCTATAACTTCTTGTTATATGTTCTGTTCTAGCCATAGATGAATTCATTGATTCAGTATCACTAACAATTTTTCTTTGAATTAGATTTTCTGAAGATATAGAAAGCTTTTCTTCTATATCTGTTTTCTCAAAATTTTTAAAAGAAGTTTCTGTAATCGAAGATAAATCTTTTTCTAAAACACAATGCTTTTGTAAATCCTGAGTAGGATTATTTCGTGTGTCTTTATACTCTGAAACTTTATCATCGGAATGTAACCATTCAATAGGATCCATTGCTCTTATTTTTTTCATATCAAAAGTATTTTTAACGGATGAATCTTGTATATTGCATAAAGTTAAATCAGAATTAAAATTAGAATCATCATTATTCAATATTTCATGTATTTTCAAATTAGAATTCAAAGATTTCGACTGTGTCGATACGTTATAATTAAGTAACCTCAAAAAAATCAGCAATATTTCAAGTATGTTTTTTTAAAAAACATTTTATCATCAATTTGATGTACCTCAACATTTTCAGACTTATCTATAGATATATTTCTATTTATTTGTTCATCTCTATTGAGTTGAGATATATTTGGAATTTTAGTATCAAGATCATCTCTTTTCGAACTACCATTATTTACGCAATCCGACTCTATAGTACTTTCTATTCGGATCTTGTTTACAGAAGCATTAATAACAAAGTCATCTTTGATTTCATTATTATTTTTAACATTCATTATTAAATCCTGATCCTCATATGA